TTAATTATTATAATTATTAACTTTTTAAATTTAAAATAAAATTTTTTTATATTTTATTTTTATTTTAATAAAATATTTTTTTTCTCAAAATCGAGTTCGAGCTCGAGTTTGAGCCTTACAGAATAGTCTCGAGTCGAGCTCGAGCCTTGTACTATTCAGCTCGGCTCGGCTCGGCTCGATCCACCCCTAGTATGAACACACTTATAATTGTTATTGTATAAAAGTTCACCATCTCTCTGGTATGATATATAAAGATGCTAGGTGTCTGAAGAAATGCTACATATAATGGAATATGTTGATTTCTTGCCTAAGAACACCATCCACTAGACTATTCAACAACAAAATAGATCAGAAAGTGTTCTAGCAACTGGGTGCATACAAGGACAAGATATGAGTTAGCCAAATGTTGTGGAGAGACACAAAAATTTCATCAGTGTGACTGGATGGATTTGAGTCGAGCCAAGCTGAATATCTAGCTATTCTAGCTCAGCATGCCAATATAAACCATCAGGCTTGAACTTGAGGTCGAACTCAATTTGAGCTAGTGACTTGAGTTCAAAATCGGCTTGAGTCAAAAGCTCGTAAGTTTGAGCTCAGCTTGGCTTGAGCTCGACTATGAGCCAAACATTTAATAAAAAATAAAAAATATACATATAATTTTTTATTTTATATATAAAAAATTAAGAATTATAAAAGTTAGTTATTATTATATATAATATTTTTATATTTTTTATATGTATAATATAAATATATAATATTATATGTATGTATGTATGTATACACATCTCCATATATATGTAAAAGCTCGATTAGGCTCGTGAGCCTCACAAGCCAAGTTTTATTGGGCTCGAGTTCAATTCTATTAAGCAAACGAGCCTATATATTAGGATCTATCTCGTCTCGAAGCCCGATTTAGACCAAGTTGAACCAAACTTTTCACGAGCTGAACTCGACTATCTCGTGAAAAACTCAGCTCGTGGCCACCCCTAAGTGAGAGTATCAATGAATACCAAATCCATGTTTGTTACTCATGCATGCATGTAGGTTGAGAGCAAAATCACAGATGCAAGAACTAGTGCCTTGTTCAGCTTGGGAAATATAAGCAGCATGTAAATTCATCCAACGTGACCTTCCTGAATTTAGAGGAGGTAGAGAACAACGAATGTTCAATGGTTTATTTGTATACATGACAGTGCATTTTATTCCATTGGTTCTAGTGAAAGACCACATTTTGACGTTGAAATAGCTATTCCTACTACTAAGAAATGTAAATAAGGAGCACATTGCAAACCTTCTTTCTCTTGGAGGGGGAAAAAACTGTTGCAACTGTGCAAGCTGATTTTTCCTCTTTCTCTTGGGTAAAGAAAAGATCACTGCTGAAGTTTTAACGGAAAATGTTCAGGCCATCCTTGATTACTTACTAGTATCATCATATGTTATTTGTATAAATGTTTGAGAAAACCCTGTGGAGTAGCATACAATGCAAAATTATATATAACCGATGTTTTAAAATGCGGAGGCGTGACACGAATCGTTCCACTACCTGAAGGCATGAAGTATAAATCATAATGTAAAGGCATAAGCCTTCTTAAGAGGAAAATGATCAAGATGAAAGACGGGGAAAAGAAAGAAGAGGAAGGGAGATCTCATTTCTTTATTTTTAATAAAAATCATTTATATTAAGAAAAATGAAGATGTATAATACTATCTGAACGGGAGGGTCTTGTCAAAACAGAGGCGAGCGAGTGGAGCGAGAACATTCTACGTAACAACCTATGCCCTACCATGAGTTGATCACATTTTCTGCTCAGTAATAGGCCTTTGAAATTTTAGTTCCATTAACCATTGAAGACACTCTCCTAATTTCAACTGTAGACACAGCAATACATGGTTCTAATAAAAATGTGAGAAGAACAAAGACCAGCCATATCTGTAAAACTGTTAGCATAGAAAAAGAAAAAGAATGCCAGACCAATCACATCTGTACAACTTCAAGAAGATAACACGTAAGGATAGTTCTTTGTCCATTAGATAGATATCAGTAGAGTAAGTGCAGTAAACCCGACAGGGGACTAGTTAAAACAAGCCAGCAAGAAATTAGCTTATACAAGATTTAACACCAAAGGACTTGGGTATTTTAAATATACTAGGTCATTTCTTGACTGGTTACTGTCCTCCTCCCCAACCCATAAATGGCTGAATCCATGACACTAATTTATTGTTAAAAGCACACACACAATTGATGAGGGGTACACATTATTTAAAATAACTATAATTGTGGTAATCTTTACAGATATAGTCAAATTATCACTGTTACTACAAGATTTTCTTGGTAGAAAAAAAACAGATGAGAGGAGAATTCCCAAATCTAGTCTTAGAACCAAACAATAAATCAAAGAGCATTTCTTTCTCCTAGAAACACATCTATCTATTGCTATAAATGATGCAGTGATGACTCACTAGCAAATTAGCTGACACCTTCATCCACAATTAATAGCAAAACGATTTTTGGGATTAGTTGTTAAACTGTCAGAATCATATAATGTTGCTCTCGGGTTCGTTTGTTAAGACTTGCATGGAGTGCATCCAAGCAAGGTTTTAAAAACCAACTCGGAACCAAAACCGCTCTGTCCACCGATTTCTAGGTTGACAGTTTGATCGTTCGATTCAAACGGATAATCTGTTTCAACGAAATAATATAAGGTTTTTAAAATTAGACTGAACATGGAACCGTTTTGAGGTCCGGTTCTTGGGTCAAACAGTCCGATCATCCGGTCTGAACAGGCAGTCCACTCTGACAAAAAAAATAAAAAATTTAAAAAGCCCAAAAATGGCCAAAAACTGTTCTTGGGTCAAACGGTTCGACGATTTTATCGCCCAGGTCAATAGTTTGCTAACCAAATCAGCAGTTTTTGGCCAAACAACGGCTTTAGGGTAAAATGGAATTAGTCATGTGACTGGTTCCTGATTTTTCTGATCCGACCGTCCAGTCCAATCCGATTTTGAAAACATTGAAAAAATTAAAAAAAAAATGGCCAAAATTATTGAACGGTTCGACCACCTAAGTCAGCGGGTCACTGAGCAATTCAATGGTTTTTGGAGGACTGGATTTGTGGTAAAATGGAACCAATTGCCTAGACAGTTCCCGAGCCAAATAGACCAACCATCTGGGTCAACGGCAGGTCAAAAATATTGATTGTTTTGCTTTGATTTAAATCATTAGTTTTCCCAAAAAAATAAATTAATAAAAACAAAAATTTATAATAATTTCGATTTTGACAAACTCTCAAAAAACAATTTTTGACAAACACTTGAAACTATTCAAATAATCCAACCCTTCTCCATCATATTAGTGATCCTGAAAACCAAGAGCCGGTCACAAGTGAAAAGAGAACCATAGGGTTTAAGGCTTCTTAGCAAAGGACTAAAGAATGGTCGTAGAAGTCAAATTATATTGGTAAGAATGGAAGTCAAATGATCCAAATGGTCAGACCATTTACATGAAAACCAATCAGGAGACCAGTTCACTTCAACCCCAAACCGTTTTTTCTTCCCCAAAAAATACTAAACTGATCAATAACCTGTTGACCTGGACAGTCAAATCATCAACCCATTTGACCAGGAGATACACTTTTTGGGCCATTTTCATTTTTATTTCTTTTTTAATTTTTTTTAGATATATAGAGCTGTCAATGGGTCAGGTCTGACCCAACGGGCACAAACCATTCGCGCCAGTTTTGGTTTCAGGATCTGGTATCAATGAGACAGTTCAGGTTTCTAATATATTATTGATTTGGAACCAGTTCTATCCAGTCCCAAACTGATTGAGACCCAATACGGTCCTTAATTATAATCGGATCCATCAGGTGTCAATTGTTTCAAGAATCAATCAGTTCAGTTTTCGGTCTAAAATTGCATATCCTATCCAGTTTGATTCAGTTCCAATTCCTTTATATTTCTTTTCAACTCGGTTCTGGGTCCGGCCTGACCCAACCCATTGACAGCCCTACCAAGGGTCAAAGTATCGACACATATCGGCCCATATTGACCAATACGTATCATTCCAGTACCCCTCTGATACGCCCCTACAGTGAGTGTATCAGGGGTCTGACCGGTTCAGGAGGTAGAGCCCTAAACCGGCCCCCCTGAACCGGTTGCAAAAAAAATAATATTATAAGCATCAAAAACTGTATCAGTTTGCCCGATACGTCAGTATGGGCGTAACCGGCATATCAAAATTTTGAACCTTTGAGCCCTAATCACATGTCAATCAATTCAGACCAAACAGTCAAACCCCTGACCCAGAAGCCGATGGCCAAATTGGTTCTGGTTCTGGGTCTGATTTTAAAACATTGGGTTTATGCCAGAAAGATAGGCAGTCAAGATGCATGTTACGGGTCCACCGGATCTGCACCCTGCACTAATAAACATTAGTCGAACAAAAGCAAATCAACCGTTTGACTAGGACAAACTCCAAATTGTATTTCAATTGTCCATTCTACATGTCTTTTAAGGCTGCATTTGGCATTATTTTAAGGATGTATGATGTCTCTCCTTTTTGCTGTTAAAAACTGTCATTAGGGAATTTTAACTGCATAAAGGAGGTAAATCGTTAAAATAAGGAATGCCAAATGCAGCCTCAAAGTGTCCCAATACTAATTCTATTTTTAAGGTCAACAAAAGTTCTGTGAAAAGAGAGGAAAAAGGGAACTAGGGGGAATGTTTACATGAGAGAGGGATATCATATTAACGTGGGTCAGTTGTGGCCATACCCAGATAGGGATATCATATTATCCTCACGTTTTTTTATTATTTAGTACATTAATTTGAGCGCATAACAATGTCACAAAACCGTATTACAACATACTGATATTTCCCTTTAGCTGGGCCTCGAGGTTGTAAGCAGTAAATAGGGAGTCATAGAATTCAACGATGTCTCATGCCTCATTCTATGTTCCCTACAAACTACAAAGCCTGGTTATATCATCAAAACAAAGTAATAAACTAACAACAATACAGGAAACAGAAAATCTTATAGTAATACAACTGTCGACATGTAACCAAATTTGAACAGCAAAATACAGGACGCCCATCATAAGAGAAACAAGCACTAATGTTACCTCAAGTTGGCCTCCCTTAAGAATTTCTATTTGTACAGTTAACTGTATAAATGAAAGGATGTCTAAACGATTCTACAAAGCCAGCCAGCCAGTAGACAATCAAAAACCAACCTAATTCAAAGAAATTCCCTAATAAATCGGCATTAGATGCTGCCTCTGAACTTTGCTTCATATTCGTGGGGTGGCTGCAAGAAAGAATATAATATTATAAACACATGTCCAGAAAAGAGATTGCTACAGATCAAATGACAGTATCAATGAATCATAAATGCACAAGAGTGAATTCGCTTGCATTGTCCAGTGAGAGAAATGAGTACTATAATTTTCAACATGGAACAAAACATCAACACTGATTGATGTGAACTTGGGGGTTTTTCCATAAATTAATTCCATCCTCGTGTCTGGCAAGTGCACTCAATAACACATCATACCAATCAAGACAGGTCTTAACAGGAAAGTGGGAGGGTCAGATCTTTTCTCATTTTTTATGGTTGTGAACTATATATAAACCACAGCATCATTTTTTAAAATGTAGGTTTTAGAGATCTCCACAGCTCAATGGGACAACCCCTCGTACGCTTCTCTAGGCCTATTAGAGAAGGCAACATTGATAGCAGAGTTGCATACACTGAAAAAGTCTGAAGCAATGATCTTCAGATGGGAATGGATTGATAGCTGAAGGGGAACTTCGAGGTGGCAAGCCCTTAGCTTCTCATATTTGTCAATAGAGAAGCAAGACCCTTAGTAGCTGCATTCTTGAATAGTTCGGCTAAAGGAGGGGTTACAATATCAAAACAACTATGGGGTTCCAAATCCACAAATTAGAATAAGCCTTTTCAAACATCAAATTATGAATTCAGTGCCATTAGACATTCAGGTTCTGAGAAGAGGTTCTCATGAACCTAGTGGCATTTTATTGTGATTATTTTCAAAGAATAAGTAATTTGAACATGGATAAATTACTTAAGAAAAAAAAAACAAAAAAAAAACTTGAAGGAAACAAAGAAAATGAACAAGCAAAATTAGCAAGCACGGACTTAAGCACATTACCATAAAAACAGCCGAGATTAACCTACGCGCAAACCATCGCATATGCATTGCCCGTTGAGTACTAGCTGCAGCTGCAACAGTTTCAAACCGCAAGTAGACATAACCAGCACTATTCCTGCAAAATAAAACAACTTGAATAATGAGAGACGATTCAGCACACAATAGGAAGGCATCAATGTGATGTATGCTCACATGCAGATAAGGTTTAAAGTATCAATATGATATTCTGATACGAGGTGTATATCCTATCCGTATCCATGGCCATGGATACAGGTTACACCATGACTGGATATGTATCCCACGAGTCATGCACATAGGCACAATATGCCTCTGCATCAGGCTTTATTGCACCATATTGGGGGATGCGATCCAATATGCACCGATATTGATTATGGAAGAATATCAGTGCCTAGTTTGATGAAATTGTATATTGACCGCTTTTGGAGTGCTTTTGAATTTCAATAAAAATCGAATATTATAATTATAAAAAAAAAATTATTTTATCTATTGAAATGATTTGCATGTTTTATTTTACATATTAATTATATGTTAGAAATAAATACATATTTATTATTTGAAAAAAAATGGAGTTATTATTTATATAAAAATGCTAAATTAATAATTTTTTTTCTAAAAATTTAATAAAAATTTGAAGTAGAGTGAGAATTATTGCATGATGTATACAGTATACATGTTCTAGAGTCTTGGTAGTGTTGATTGTAATGTTTCTCTTCATATAACATATTAAAGTATGCATTTCTCATGTGTTTATACTTTATTCATAGAGAATTCAGCTTTAGATTTAGTGTTATTAATGTATTTATGTAATTTGCATGCATTTCCCTAGCATTACCATATCCATATCTGAGCAGTCCGATAAGATACTAGATACCAATACTTTAATCCTTAGTCTAAATGTTTTATAGAGGGCTTCTAAAATTGGGCTCTAACTCTAGGGCTGTCTTTATCAAATAAGCAAAAAGATAGTAGAGGCCAAAGAAGGGGGAAGGATTCCCTAGTGTTAATTGTTTTTATTTTTTTTTTATGAATCCCTAGTGTTAATTGTTTCTCTTTCCCTAGTTCTAATTGTGGACTATTTTTCTAATAAAATTTTCATTTATATCTATTTACTTAGAATAATAAAATATTTAGGATTTTTAATAATTAAAAAAAAAAACAGTAGACATATGAGTCTAAACAAAAAAAAGCAAAAAATCCACAGGTTTCCTTTTGTGATTTCCAAAAGGTGCTGCTTTTTTGAGAAGAGGTCAGGTATAATGAATTGTTTTTAAAAATAAAAAACAAAGGGCCATCAGAACAGGCCCAGAACCAGGAGACCCACAAACAGCAAAGGTTGGGTTGTATTCAAAACAAGCCCACATATCAGAGACACCAACCATCAGGACCCAATAGACCAAGCAAAACACAGTATCACAAAACAATGAAAGTACATCAGCATATCACTACAGGAACTAATCCGCAACCTTCTTCACTGCCATGTCTCTTTCCTCTAGTACTGCTACAGCTATAACCTCTGCCATGAGATTTCACCACCATGCCTTTGTAAAGTCGGATCCTTACCTTTTCTACAACCCAGCCAACATTCCAGGTTGTCAATAGACCAATCTGAATCCAAAGTCCAAACTAACCTCAGCTGCCCGATCTAACCTACTTGAATTCATTGTGCACATTTCATGGTCCTTTAACACCCTAGACTTGTACAGCTCATGCCATTATCTTCACCATTGAGAATGAAATGCCAAGAAATTTCCCAACCCCATGCCTATGTCTATACTTAGCTTGATAGAATTGAGATCAAAAGGGCCTCATGAGTTGTAGGGATAGAAGTATGATAATAGTTAAAAGGTAATATAAAGCAATCAATTGTTTTGGGCTCAGTTCTAATATGAACATACAAGGGATAGGAGTACAATAACATACTCTGAAAGGGTGAATGAAAAGTTGTACACATCCTTTACTGTTAATATTTAATAGAAATTCAGTCTTAATTATCAAATAAAAACTATTTTAATCCATATTCATAAAAATAATTGCACATAGATAATGAAGTAAACACCAGATCAAGATGTAAATGAATGGTTAACACTTACTTGTCAACATAGATATGCTTGACAGGGCCAAGTTTAGAACATTCTTCTTGAACTTCCTCTTTAATGTCCAAATCAAAGTCAGGATCCGTCTGCACAGTAAATATGAAGTTCAATATTTCCACAAATAGAACAAACAAATAAAACAAGTAAATTACAAACCTCAGTGGCTGGATCAAACATGTTCTTCAACAATAAGCACTCGCTAGGATTCCCAATGGGTTCAGTAACTGGAGATGTGACAACTAATGCTGGAAGAGATGAAGCAAGACCTGCAGTTTGTCCATTCATGGGTACACCAGAAGATTGTAGATTTGGGGTTGCACCATTAAGTAAAGGCACTCCAAGTGACCCTGCAATGCTGCTGCATCTCTGCAAGCTTAGTTCGTGTATGAAGACACTTAACTTCTAGAAAAGAAAAAGCTAGAAATGAGAAAAAAATACAAACCTTGTGGCAATGCCTGTTCGATCCAATTTCTGCATAAGCATTGCTCTAGATTGAGCATTTAAAGCCTGCATTGAAATGATCAACCAACATCATTACTTGGAATTACATCTACTCAATGTTGAAATATGTGTGAATGATTGATAAGTGGCTTTTTCCTGTTCCTCGCTCTTTTTCATGATTGATTGTTATTGGTAGTAATATGAAGATTTAATGAACATATTTTTCAATTCAGCACATCACTGGAGCATAAAGATATTGGAACACAAAAGAAATGGAAACCCTGACAATGCAGTTCTGGGATCCACTGAAACAAGGATCTAACTATTGGAACATCACATTTCCAATTTTAAGCCAATGGTTGGTGAATCCTTATAATGGAGTTAAGTTTAAAATTTAAATATATTCCTTGGTCATAATAATACAAATTAAATTATATGCTCCTGCAGCATTTAAGTCCTTGTAACCTACTTTTTTTAAAAGTAAATAGGAAATATATATTAACAGCAAAATAAAGAGTTTACAACCTGTTCAATACATTTAGGAGGCAAATCCCACCAATAACAACTATTATAAAAAGATTTAGCCCCGTGAAAAGCTGAAGTATACTTCCTAGAGATATATACAATCCTAATGGAATCTAAATTTTTAACAATCTGTTCAGAACCCAGTTCCTCTCCACTTCCGAGAATATGATCAAACAACTCTTTTTGGTAAAACTAGTTGAACCAGGTTGAACCACAAAATTTTTTATTTATTACTTTTATACTTAAACTTAATTTATGATGTGCTGCCAAATCAGTTGAACCATGACCCACTCAATGACCATTCCAGAAGAAAAGATACGGAGGATACATCAAAAATCCATCAGAAGGAATGTAGAAACCATCCATTAATGAACAAGGCTAAAAACTCTATAGGTCAGAATGTAGAAACCTCAGTGCAACCTATTCCTTACTACCTCAGTCCCCTGCTGCCAAAAATCTAGTTTCTGTTATGCAATGGTGATACATCAATGGACACTCTCCTCTATCTCTTGTACAGCCTTATATAATATGAGAGTCCCCCTATTTCTTAAGCTCATACCACCCAAAATCCTATCAAGAATGGCAGTAGCTCAATCCATATAAACACCATCATCATCCAAACCTTATCCCAACCATATGAGATGGTCTGCTATGTCACTACTTCCACCCAAGTCCTTTTTGGTCTACCCCCAGCCCTTCTAGCCACTTCAAATTGCAACAGATTACTTCTTCCAACGGGTACCGTTGGTGGTTTTCTATGCACCTGACCAAACCATCTTAGTCTATTTTCTCTCATTTTATGAATCTAAGTAGTATCCATCTATCGCACAAGACTCCAGATGGACCCCCTCCATTTTGTCCATCCTGCTCTAATTCTATGGGCAACATCCTCCTTAATCTCCCTTTTTTGTTATCAGAAAAGAAAATCATTAAGCATTAGAATAAATAAATAAATTCTATTGATAAAAAAGCATTAAAATAAATTCAATTTGTTACAATAAGTTGGAATATCCCAACAAATCCCTACTACATTGTTCTATATCTCCCTTAAAGCATGCCCGTAAATCCAATGAGCTGAATTGATTTTGCTTGTCCAAGATATAACCAGTTTTGAATCCTCTTCCACTTCCAGCTCTCAGAGTCCAAGTTGTATTGATAATCTTAATCCTTGCAGCAGTGCCTTCAGTTCAGCTCTTACCCAATGTTCTGAAAACCGTAATTGTAGAAAAGTTGAATTGAATCGAATCGAATCACGAATCGTATCATAGATCGTAAGATTATTTCTACTTTTTACAAACTTGTCAAAAATTAAATATAGTATGCTAAAAGACTAAATATATATAGAAAAATGTTATTTTAAGTCATATCTACCATGTATGGACTTGAAACAATAGAACTTACAATACAACAGAAGTCTAAGATGATATAATTGAGTTTCGCTTAAAAGTCAAATAATCCACATATAATGGCTCTTTATCTAACACATGACAGAAAATAAACTCAATATATAGTCTTAAATAATGTAAATAAACCAATTTCTAGTAATATCTTTAAGACAAGTCACCCTCGACAAAACTAAATATAAACAAAACAAAACACAAAGTAGAGACCTAATTCTTAATTGAATTGATTTGAATCACACAAATCATCTAAATCGTAATATTTATGAACAAATCGTAGGATTCAAACAAAAATCTTTAGATTTTTTGCAGAAAAGGATTCAGACATAAGATTCGAACCAAAACCCATGGGATTCATGATCGTGAATCATATTTTAAATCATAAGATTTTAGTGACTGAGTCATTGCTTTTCTTTTTATAATTGAATGAATTTTATTGATCACCAAAGATAAGAAAGTACAAGCTTCCCAAGGAGAGGCATGAGATGTGAAGTCCTCCAGAAGGTGTCTAGTATAGTCATTGTCTTAAAACTTCTTATTTCTAAGGTAGACCATAAACTTAATTTTGCATTTACTCCTTCATTAGTTCCGACAATTGAGACAATGTCATCAGCAAAACATACACCATGGACCTCTTGAATATGTCTCATCAATTGTTTTATGATCAATGCAAATAAATAGGGCTTGGGGTTGAACCTTGGTGAAGACTCATCGTAACTACAAAATCTGATGTCTCTCCCAAAATCTGACAATAGTTATTGCACCCTCATATATATCCTTAATTAGGTCTATATACCAATGTTTTAAAACATGGAGGCATGAGGCGAAGCATTCCACTACCTAGAGGTGTGACACGAGGCGTCCCACTATCTAGAGGCATGAATCCATGTTGTGGACGCATATTGGGAGCAGCAGCAGCAATGATCCGGTGTTCTCATCCTATCCAATTCGGCAGCAACAGTCTTATCCATTCAGCAGATTAGATTAGACTATCTTGTTATTCTTATCTTATTAAGTTAGTAGATTAGATTATCTTATCTTATTAGATTAGGATTAAGAGAGACTTATCTTATGAGATTAGGATTAAGAGAGACTTATCTTATCAGTCTTACCCTATCAAGATAGAGTTGGAGGTCTCCCTATTCAGCAAGGAGTCTCCCTAAGAGCAGGACTCTTGTAATCTCCTATTTAAGGAGCCACTATTATTGAATAAAATCATCCAAGAACTTCAGTTAAGAAAAGAGTTGAGGAGAGTTAGGTGATCTCTTGGACAAATAACCCCTTAGGTTGCCACGATAGGGTCAGAACACAAAGGGAGGGGCAAGGGGAAACTAGAGGTTCTCCCCGTGGACCGACCCGTGACGAGATCCTACGCCCGGGCCCATAACATTTTTGTATCAGAATCGAACGTCATGGGCGATATGGAGCAGCTGTCATCCAGGGTCCACGAACTGGAGCACCAGCTCGTGGAGAACCGCGCAAAAATACGAGAAGTCAAGGATGATGTCTGGGAGCTTCGTCGCTTGCTAGAGTCGTATTTCTCCAACAGAGAGAGGAGCCCCGAAGGGACGACTACCACCAACAGTCACCGACCAGATTTGGCGGAATCATCCGACGAACGACAGATCGTCGCCCTAGCAGCAGCAGTCATTCCCAAGTATAGTAGGCTGGAGTTCCCTTCGTACAACGGCAGCGGAGACCCACTGGGATGGCTATACCGTTGTGAACAATTCTTTCGCAATCAGCGTACAGAGGAAAGAGATAAGGTTAGTCTGGTCGCGTTCCATCTAACGGAGGAAGCACAACTCTGGTTCTACCGAGTGGAGCAGGAGGAACCAGAACTCAGCTGGGACCAATTCAAGTCCTACTGCCTCCTCAGGTTCAGGCCCCCATTGACGAGCAACCCACTAGGTGAGTTAATCAACCTCAAACAAACAAGCACTGTGGCTGAATACCAGCGCCAATTTCAGACCCTTCTCGCCAAAGTCACCTCGGTACGCCCAGATCAACAGGTGGATATGTTCACCGCGGGATTGGTTGAGCCCCTGAGGGTAGATGTGGAGATGCAGCATCCTCCCAACCTGGTCACCGCCATGAACCTAGCTCGTGCTTTCGAACGTAAGCTACAGATCAGCCGAGGGCCTCCATCAGCATGGGCATCCTGGGACCACTCGGAATGGCTCCATATTCAGCAGCCAACCAAGAACAGAAGCCACAGATGAGCAACAATTCCAGATCAGCATCCGATGTGGGGAGCAGCGTCGTTGCACCCCCTATTAAGCACTTGTCCAGGGCTGAGATGGCAGAACGCAGGGCAAGGGGATAATGTTTTAATTGCGATGAACTCTACTCAGCAGAGCACAAGTGCAAGAGACTTTTTTGCCTCCTGGTGAAACAAGAGGAAGATGAGGATGAACCCTCTTCATTGGAACCCGATCCAGGAGGGCAAAGCCATTCCACCTATCCGAGATTCCTTTAACTGTGTTTCCAGACACCCATCCTGAATTCGAGCTTGAGGACAAGCTCGTAGTCCAAGAGGGGAGTAATGTTGTGGACGCATATTGGGAGCAACAACAGCAATGATCTGGTGTTCTCATCCTATCCAATTCGGCAGCAACAGTCATCCATTCAGCATATTAGATTAGACTATCTTGTTATTCTTATCTTATTAAGTTAGTAGATTAGATTATCTTATCTTATTAGATTAGGATTAAGAGAGACTTATCTTATCAGTCTTACCCTATCAAGATAGAGTTGGAGGTCTCCCTATTCAGCAAGGAGTCTCCCTAAGAGTAGGACTCTTGTAATCTCCTAATTAAGGAGCCACTATTATTGAATAAAATCATCCAAGAATTTCAGTTAAGAAAAGAGTTGAGGAGAGTTAGGTGATCTCTTGGACAAATCACCCCTTAGGTCGCCACAATAGGGTCAGCACGCAAAGGGAGGGGCAAGGGGAAACTAGAGGTTCTCCCCGTGAACCAACCCGTGACGAGATCCTACGCCCGGGCCCATAACAGTCCACCCTCATATATATCCTTAATTAGATCTATATACTAATGTTTTAAAACGTGGAGGCGTGAAATGAGGCATTCCACTACCTAGAGGCATGACACGAGGCCTAGTTCAAAACGTAAGAGACGTATGCCTCCCAAACACAAAGAGGTGTAAGCCTACTTAAGAGGAGGGGGGATGAGGAGAAAGGAGGAGGGAAAAGAGGAAGGAGGATCTCATTTTTCTTTATTTTTAATAAAAATCTTTTATATTAAGAAGAATGAAGATGCGTATCACTAGTTTGGGTAGTGCTGTAATGTTTGATGTTTATTGGATCAACCTTTTCTAATAAGGGTTGAATTCTGTATTTCAGGTTAATTTATCTCTAATGAAAGTTATCATTTCTGATAAAAAAAAAAAAGATGCATATCACTAGTTAAAAGGGGGGATCTTTCCCACTATCTTTTCTTTCCTGCCCTTTCCTTTTCTTTCCCTTCCATTTCCTTCCTTTCCTTTTTTTTTCTTTTTTCTTTGTTTTTTCTATCTTTTTACATGGGGTGTGCATGTGGCGCATGAGTATGCCTCTAGCACGCCTCATGAAAAAACTGTATGAGGCGTACGCCTCAGAGGTGGCAACACCTCTGCCATATGCCTCCCACACCTTTTAAAACACTGCTATATAGAAAACATAGATCCTAGGGTAGTTCCCTAAGTACCATAGCCATATTTCCTTAATAATTATTCATAATTTTCATAAGAAGAGTAGAGTTCATTTTAAGTATAGAAAATCAACATATTCATGAAAAGAAAAAAAAAAGAACGAAAAGAAAATTCAAAAAAATATAGGGGCTGAACCCTTACTTTTGTTATATGAAAAGAAGAAAAGAAAAAGTAGTAGTAGTAGTAGTAAATGTGTTGATTAGAAAAAATTTTAAGTTCTTACTTATTGGTTCAGGTTTTGAAGTCTTTGAGATTCAACACAGCATTTAGCAATGTTAGTATTGATTAAATCCTAACAAATAAGAAAATAATTAAAAGAAATTAGTATATAAACACACAAAATGAATATTTTAGTTCAATAGTGCCTATTTTATAATTATAATGTCAAAAAAAATAAATAATAAAAAAGTATTTTACAATACATAGTACAAAACTGCTTGGCAATTAGGCGAGGCGAGCCTCAAAGGGTGCCTACACACCTGCCTAGGCGTCGCCTTGACAACTATGCTATATACCTATTCTGACTCCTTTCTTTTCCAAGACCCAAAACATTATTTATCTGGGGACTTATAATATGCCTTTTCTAGGTCGATGAACATCACATGGAGATCTCTCATCTTCTCTCCACACTTTTCTATCAATTGTCTCAAAAGTATAGCTTCCATAGTTGATCTCCCTGATTAACATAATTAATGCTTATGCACCTCAAGTGGAGAAGACTATTTTAGGAAAACTTACAAGGATAAATCTAAGAATACCAAATGAAGAGAAGATTTTTACAAGTGGAGGCCTAAATGGACATGTGGGGAAGAGAAGTGCAGAATATTATATGGTGCATGGTGGATTTGGGCTTGCATAGAGGAATGAAACATGAGATACAATCTTATAATTTGCGATAGGCCAATAACTAATGATATGGTAATTGTAAACACATTTTTCCAAAAGAAGGATGAAAACTTAGTAACATTTAAAAGTGAATCAAACATAAGTGAAATAGATTTTTTTTTGTAACTAGGAGAACAAAATGAATGATGCGTAAGCATTGCAAAGTTTCCCAAGGGAAAGCTTAACCACATAAGAGAGATTAGCTCAGCCACTATGAACTAATATTTTTTTCTATGTTTTTGATTGATTATATGTTTTATCGATTTTAATGAGCTACACCAAGCATATGATTCATATACAACATGAACATGACAACTAAAACAAAAGGAAAAAATTCCAGGAAGAAGCATGAATCCCAAGTTATTTGAAGTGATTTATAACATAGTTACAAAAAATTCCACATATCATATAAAAACATGGATTTTCCTACGTCAATCCAAGCAATTTGATGAAAACCATGCCCAGATTCTGCCCTACCTTCAACAAAAAAGTAGCAATTCTAAAAAGTAATATGTCTTCTGCAACTGCAAGCTTATTAACACTATTATCATTTGCTGAAAATAATAAAACATAGCTTTCTATTGACAATTTATTTGATTTAAGCACCACAATTATAAAATTTGCATCAGATATTATTTGTTTCACTAACTGAGAATCATCCTGATTTAGACAAGGATAATCAAGTTTAAATCTTAAGAGTCTACCATAACATTAACCGCTTCCAATATACAAAATTTAAAACACTGACAGATTTGACTTACCAAACCACCCCCATCATCATCATCAAAATCAGCAGCATTTGCACCAACATCCTGCACTGCAACATGTTCTGTGACAGATGAAACCTGTAGACATGGACACATGAGATCCCAGACCAGATACAATCCTAGACAGCACCATATATGCCACTCATAGAATTCAAATTAAGATAGACAAGAATTACTGAATACTAGCATATCCATAAAGGTTAAACCCATACTTCCAAACAACTATACACCAACCTTGATTGTTCGACCAGCAATCTCCAATTTCCCATTCAAACTTTGAGCTGCCTTTGAATGTTCAATCTGAGCAAACTGGAAAAATAAATAAATAAATAAGTAAATAAATTCATAAATAAGTTGGGATGAAAAATTTTTAATCATAAAAACATCAACTTGAAATCAAAACTTACTTGAACAAACCCGAAACCTTTACAATGTCCTGTCTCGGGATCCAGGGGTAGTTGCACAAGCTCAACAGGACCAAATGGTTCAAAAACCTGAGGAAATGCATCATCAAAAAATGTACGACACACTGAAGAAATTAGCACCACATACATTTATCAAAAAAAAATTAGCAACAGATAATATTATGAAGAGAAAAGTGAAAAGAAAATAAATTCCAACATTAAACTTGCACAAAGGATTGTGCATGAACATAGAAATGTGACAAGGTCCTTCCTCTATGACACCAATACAACTAGTATAAAGGAGGGGGAAGTTAAAGGCCTGCTTCCAATGTCCAAATGATGCTATTGATCTATTTACTTGGCAATGCCCTGAACCTAGACCAAGATAATCTTTCAACTTCAAGTGATGGGTCATTCTATATAGCTCTCCTTTGAATGTGTTATTGATTAAAAAAATGCTCATGAGCAATGAACATGGCATATGAATGGAATGGGCTTAATCTTGGTACTCAGGTACTTCAGCAGAATTGCAGGCTCTCTGTACATCTCTTACTTATGTACTAAAACTTGGGGCCACAAGGTCCTTAACTCTCACTATTTCTCAGCAAGTTTCAGCACGGAAGCTCTCCCTCTTCATGTTTTTTTTTTTTGATTGAAGAAAGCTTTCACTCGTATTAATAGAATTTACTCCACCTTTCAAAAAAAAAGTCAGGCTTTCAGCCTGGAAGCCCCTTGCAGATGACCATAGTAATCCCCATTTTGGGAATCTCTGAGATTTATTGGGAGAAGCTCCAGTAAATGGAGAGCTATAAAGCTGATTATGGAGTTTGGTAAATGGTCATCCCAAAGGGTCACACAAATGGATGGCCTTGATTGGCCTCATCATCCATCCATACAGTAGAAATGGGTGTTGCTGAGAGAAACTTAATGGCCCATATAGAAAAGCTTTTTTGTGGAGATCCACATGCATGCTTCCTACCAAAGAGAAACATTGGGACATAGTAATTGACATGTTTTGGAAGTGACAGGAAGAACAAAAGGATACATCAATCCAACTAGAACTTAGCCATGGTTCATAAAGAAGGTAAGATGCAAACAACAAACCATTTTAACAGAAGTATCACATCTATGTTATCAATTCAAACATCTGATTGGGAATTGTCAATTGATACTGTGCAGCTCGTTCTTCACCAACAGCCATAAGTAAGCCATTTCCACAGCATTACTGGTTGGTTACTTCTGGATATTTGCTTCCTATCAAAATTTCTTTTATTCCCCTCATCCCAAATTATCCAACAAATTCATACACTAGCCAGCTATGCACAGTCTCATGTAATGTTTGGGGAAACACCATATGATGTTAAGCCCTTTAAAATTTTCCACACCTTTACACTAAAAGGGCTTTATATGAATAGATGGTCCACCCACTCTGCCTCCTTGTAACATTACACAGTTACACGAGGTTAAATCAATACCTCTTGTTAAAAGTGAATCTCTGGTTAGGCATATGTACAGCATTGTTGAGTGACGCCACAACACAAAGGCTCCTTTCGATGGTAAAGGCACCTTCCACACTTTTCTTGCATGATAATGATACAGATACAGGATAAAGTGCAAGTAGAGAAATTCCAAACATATGTTTTCCAACATATCCTCACGAACCATCTTTAGATTGTCTTCTCATTTTTCAAGTAAAAGGAAGTTATGAAAAATCAAAGAATGCAATTTTACCAGTATCAAAAACAAATTAACAAAATTGAATGATCCAATCAGTGTACCTGTCGAAGCTGATCTTCTGTCATATTGAAGTGCAGGTTTCCAACATAAAGTTTTCTTGCACCTGCTCCACCAGCAAGACCCCCTGCTCCTCCAGCAGTTGACTGAACAAGATTCTTTTCAGCTTCAGAAGGTTTAACCATAACGGGTTGACCAAGAAGCAACTGACCAGAAAGAGCAATTGCCATTGGCACGGACATTGCATCATAAAATTCAATGTAACTGCAACATCAACATGTGACAACAATAAAATTATGAGGAAAATATAGGAAAAGGAAAGCACCAAAAGGAATGCAAAGAAAACAATCTTCTAAGAACCAAAAAAATAACGTTGATATTTTATTTTTTCAGAGGCATCAAAAACTTCACATGAATAAGTAGCTTATAAGATCTTTCTGGAGGAGCCAGTGGTAGGTAATGACAATTATGATAATATCAATATTAAAGTAGCAAGAAATGGTTAAGACAAAAACTCCTTAACGGCTTGAACATGACAATCAACATCAACAAATCTTAAAAGGTCTAAAGTAGAGTTCACATAAGGATCTTGGGAGAATGTATAGACCCAAGAGATATTTATAAATCCTATTAGTGTGGTCACTCATCTGAACTAGTCCAAAAACTAAATCAAATTGGTGATCCGGAATGGAAGGACATTCAATGCGAAGAGCTGATCCGGAATGGAAGTCTTGAACACTAAAAATAAAAGTTGTGCACTGGGTTAAGACTCTGAAAGACTTTCTAGTCTTCTCACTGAGTGGCATTTTGAGAACTTAGAAGGAAGTGGCACTTTCAGCTCAAGAAAAGGTAAGAATAATCATGGAGTGGAGACCTCCAGCATCCAACTTTATAATTCTTAACTTTGATGGAAGCTTTATAGGCAACCAAGGTGTGGCTCGGTTGGGAGGGGTCTTCCATGATTCAGGGGGCAAGGTAATAATAGCTTTCAGGACCTCTTGAGCACGGTGATTCACTGACAGCAGAATTGGTGGCCTTACTCCATGGTGTAAAGCATGCAAAGCAGGTTGGGTCGCATCAGTTGGAGGTGGAAGGGGACTCCCAGGTGATCATTTCCTGGACAAGATGTAATACCCAAATCCCTTGGGTCTATAGACACGCCTTTTGGGAGATCAAAAGTATAACAAGGGAGCCAACTGTCAATTTTAAATGGATGAGAACAGCTAATGGGATGGCGGATACCCTAGCTAAACAAGTGGGTTTTAGACATCAAATGTTTTGGGCAAATTTGTAAGCTTCTGTTTGTTTAGGGTGGAGAATTTTTCCACCATAATGTATCTTTAAAATTTCCTTAAATAAAATTCCTTTTGCCGATTAAAATATATGAGAAAAGTGTAGAACTAGCTAGGTGATTAGTTTGCACTAAAACATGAAAACTGAAAATATATAAAGCATTGAGTATAATTTAATCCAATACAGCATCTAAATCCAATGACGTCAAAAGCCTCTCCCCTAAATCTTCGCTTCACACATCTTTGAAATCTTGATGCACAAGAACCCATTCAGCAACCATTGGCAAGAAATCAAGTAATCAACCACCAGTTTGAATAAGAAAGGAATTTTCACTAATTATGCAGTCCGAATAATGAAATTATGCATGAGTTGAACCCCACCAAATAGGAGATTAAATTGTCTCAGCTGATGCTCCATGTACAAGTAATATTTACTCAAAGCAATGGAGAGAATCGAAATTTCCTCTTAAGATTTAGAAAACCAGTTAATTGCAACACTGATATTTAGCATCCATAACCATCTGATGGATCAATATGGCAAGATCAAAATGCAAACATCCAAACAATTGACAGTCCTAGTAGAAGTTAGCTGGTTGATAAATGCCAAGGATTTGGAAGGAGGATATTATTGCAGTTCCCTGTAAGACCAGTGACCATAAGTCTAGAGACAAAAATTTTTATAGTGCTGGAAGCCTGGAAATCTTCTTAATGTTGGCATTTTCTCAACTAAGCCTTGCCCCAACCATATGGATTATCTAATGTGAATCTTGTTCCACTATTCCATCATGTTTGGTGTCATGGCAATTGTTAAATTATAGGAACATCTTTTCGTCTCTTTTCTTTGCTAACTACCTGCATTTATTCTCTTGAAAAAGAGGTTTAGGCCTGTATGTTGTAACATAATGGGAGAACAATAAGATGGTACTTAAGTCCACTATAAATAGATCCTCAGGGAAATTGTGGGCTTAATGGGAAAAATAAGTAATTTAAGTTCCATGTTCTTCTACCTTGAACATGCTTCATGAATTGACTAAACAAGAGTGCAAGGCATTTCACATGCCCCATCATAGATTCCTTATCACAGTACTATTACATCTAAGGTAAATGTAATCATCAAAGGAAGAAAAAATAGATCCAGCAACAGATAGTTCCCTACAAACTACAAAGCATGCATGTACAGATATAATAAGGAAACAAGAAAGTAACATACCCAACCCCCTTTGAACGCCTTGAATTCCGGTCCATTATCAACCGGACATCCCTCACCTGAAAACAAGCATGGCAGGAAGCAATTATCAAACTCCAGTAGACAGCATACATAATGACAACACAGACCATAATGGAAATATTAAGTACCATTCAGTGATCATATAAGAATGCCATAAGAATAATGCAATAAAATCATATATAGGAAAACAAAATGAACCAACATCATGGTCCAACAGAACGTAGGAGGGGAAAAAGTATCAACCAACTAACCTTGCCTGCTTTTGAGAAAAATTCATAAACATCTCTCTCAGTAGCCTTCAGAGGCATCTGCAATATTTTCCATACAATTAATGAGAGTTTGCAAAAGAAATGCAATGAAAACAGAAGAAAAAACAGAGAACAAGGCTAAGAAACAAAAAAAGAGTATGCTTACACCCACCTGGTAAGCAAAAACAGTCCTCTGATCCCTTTCTGGATCAGCTTCAGGCTCCACAACTTCCTTCTTTTCTTTAAACCTCCTGCATGAATTACGGCTCAGAACTAAATGAACAGATATTCAAGAAAGGAAAATCTCATAAAATTGATTAAAACCTTTTAATTGGAACAACTAATTATAAATAACAAGAAATATGTTTTGTTGTTAGATGAAAGTTCAATTTTATCTCTTATAAGTTATTTATATAATTTTTCAATGCTAGTTACTTTTTCTGTTTTCTATCACTGCTTTATTTCAATACCATAAGAAAAAAACAATAACATAGGGAAGACCTTTTTGTAGGAAATTGTTAAATAAACATATGCATGTCTCCATCATTGCTTAGACGTATATATGTGGCAATGTGCATATGGCACATAATCATCCAAATTCTTTTGCTTCCAAATATTTATGTGTAATTGTTTGCTCCCTTTCTTCTGTGGGATGGTTTTCTGTGAGTGTGGGTGGGTAGGGATTGGGGATCGGGAATAAGATAAAGATATATATACATTTATATAAAAGCAATGGGATAAGAGAAGCCCCTCAGTAATAAAAAAGTGCCAATAACATTCCAACACAACAAAAAGCTCCCTGTATGATATATACAATGGATATGTCTAAATTGCCATGTTAGACACCAAGAAGGCTTGCTAGTCCCCCCTCTCACTAAGCTGTCAGAAATCAAAACAAAGGATCTCAGAACCAAAGTGAACAAACAGTTAAGCTAGTACAATTAATTGCAAGATTGAGAAGTGGGATACCACCAACTCAGTAGTGCATCATGCATGCAGGTGTAAAAATCAACTAGACCTGGTTTATCAAACGAGGTTTTATAGGTCAGACTTCGCAACATTTTCCCCTTCCTATTATAATTGTAGGCTGCACCCTATCATTAACTAAGACAAGGAAATACAAGGAAAGTCTGTTGCGTTAACATTTTCTAGTACCAATATCTTTTATCAACCTTTTTCAAGCGCAGTTCTAAGAATTAACCAGGGCAATGACTATTTGAGTCATTTGACTATAATTCATAATATAACCCTAAATTACATGACCTAACTACCTTTTTTTCAAATGAAACATGCTCGATTATCACAAGCATCAGAGCAAGCCTGCTAGCCCCATCTGAAAACTACAGAGGGGAAAACAACAACCTAAAACCTAGCCCAAATGGATCATACTCAAGTATTCCCCAAACCAGTTTTTAAAAGTGCAAGGCACAAGCGAGGCGCACGCCTTTTTAAGCAAGGCACAAAATTACAAAAAAAAAATCTGAAAAATCAAAAAAAGTCAGAAAATTCAAAAACAAATGCAAAAAATATTAAACATAATGTTAATAAAAAATAAAAACTTAAATTTTAAAATAAATGTTTTAAAAACCTATTATCTAAAATTAAAATACATAAGCATAACACATAAAGTGTATTCAAATGAAAATTTAAAAATAAAAGCAAACATATAAAGCGTTTTCAAGCATGTAAAACCCACAATCTCTTTTTCTCCTTAATTACATTGCTTCAAGTAGCTAATGTGATGTAAAACATATTGCATTCTTGATCCTATAAGTCGTCTTTCTACCACACCCCTTGAGGCAAGCCCGAAGAAGTCTATGTTAGGGTGTGAAATTCTTATTTCTCACATAAATAAACAATGATTTTATAAATTTCATTGCCTTTTAAGAAGATATTTTATTGCAATGAATGAATGAACAACATTAGCAAATAGGGGGTTCTTGGCCGTTAGACTCAAAAAAAAAAGCAAAAAATACAATTTTAAAAAGGTGCACGCCTGGGCTGAGGCGCAAGGTGCATCAGGCGCACACCTAGGTGCACCAAGCGTGTGCCTTTTGAAAGGGGTGTGCCTAGGACCTGGGCAAGGTGCAAACCCCAAAATGCGCCTCGCCTGTGCACCTAGGCGCATCTTTTAAATCACTGCCCCAAACAGAGAAGCAATCTAAGAAACCTCCTAATGTCATTAAAATAAAAGAACCCAATACCAAAAGGATCCATGAACAGTAACTAAAAGAACTGGTGAACTCTATGCAATTTAGTAGTAAGTACAGACAACTAATGAGTTTCTTTTAATTCCAATTAGTTGTTCTAACATTCAAACTTAAAGTGGACCTAACACATTGCATTTTCTATTTAAAATATTAATGGAAGTCTTCATGTGTCTCCAACAATTTTCATGCATTTCTCAATTGATACGCAGTCTACGAAATATGAGGAAAGTAAGTCCCCTGCATACCATGTTGGACCCTACAATTAAGAAAAAAGTATGGTTTAGAATTGTAGCAGTTGACGTTGAACCATTAAAAAGAAAACAAGTGCAGATTCAAGTTTACGGTGTAACTTTAACAAAAATCAGTAAATAGAAGCAACTGAATAAAGCATCTACACATGAACAAACAATCAATAATACTTATCCAATTATTTGGAGTTGGTTACAGATCCCATCTGCCATGCCACTCTATTCTGGGGCTGTGACCTCCAGAAATGAAAAATAGTAGCAGCATACAAAATAACAATGGCAATGGACAGTAGTTAGAAGAAATAAATCTTAGAAGCACGACTCAGATGAGGAGCAAGATTTGAAATGGGAATAGCACTCCAATCAAAATTTTCCAGTAAGAAAAGAACTAAATCTTGATTTGTCAACTTTCATTTTGCACAATAAAAAATTATAGAAGATCACCAACATCCAAAAGAAACCAAGTTATAAGTTCTCATGAATAACCCCACAGTAGACATTATCAAGGGAATCATCATATCATCATATATAACTGAACTGGCTTACTCAAGAAGTCCAATGCTACTTGGTTGACTTCAAAGCGATTGCTTTAACAAAGGGGAAAATGCTTTATGAACTCCTGCTAGTTGTCATTGCTATTAAATTTCAGCCTTCAAAATTACCAGAAAGTGACTAGAATTTTCTTTTCTGTTGTTGGGTAATGCACTCCAAAATCTCACTAGTTCACATGTTTCATGCCACTCACATTTCTGTACTCAAGATTCCTATAACAATGCCAAGAAACTCAAAAATGTTTAAAAAGAAAGGTTTTCTTAGGGATTGGTAAAGTGGAAGAAAGTTTTTGTGCCAGCATAGGAAGGTGAGTATAACAAAGGTTTTCTTAAGAAAGTTTTGCATCATTCCTTGCTTCTATTCCAACTCAGCTCCTAGAAGCAGGATGCCCCTGAGATAAGGGAGTTTTGCAAATGAGATGGTACCTCCACCCACAAACTTTACCTGGAAATATTATGCAGCAGAATCCAACCTTTCTACCTATTAACAATCAGACTACAGTTTTGTGCAAGCTCTAAAAGGAACCAAGGGTCCAACTGGTATGAGTTGCATCTTCCTCAAATCGGACATGAGTATATTGTGTGCTTATATGGACCTATAGGGAATACAAGCTGCAAAAAAACTGAGGTAGCCCTTCATCTGGAAGTCTGCATATTGTAAAAAAGAATAGAGCAACACATTTTATAATTGAAGTGTGCTTGAATGAGTGTTACCATAAAGAGTGGCACATGGCAGCACACCTACTCAATGAAATAAGGGAATTTAGAAGACATGCATGTCCAAATCAAATGGATTGGGAGGCTTGACGACACCAAGACTTTAGATGCATTCACATTGTGGCATAAGCCTCAAGGTGATGCTCATGAGTTACCATTTTTCTAAGAAACAAAAGAAACTAAAATGAAAAAAAAATGCATAAATATGCAAAAAAGGAGCACATTTTACAAATGAAGGTCAAAATAAATAGCTGATCACATAATAAAACTTCAAAAAGCCATTGCATTCTTATAAACCATTTAATAACTATTTTTTATTCAGAAACATCAAATGGCTTGTTAGGAGGATGGAAACTGCTCCATAAACATAGATTGCAGTGTCCAAAATCTACAGAGATAGCCCATTCCAGGTGAGTTTCTTTGATATATTTTCATTTGACTAATGGCTTTTTTTTGTAGATTTCTCTTGAAAAAGTTTTCACAGAAATGTACAGTCCCTACCTCATAGTGGTGCTGAGCGTTTCACTTGTTTAAATGTTTGAGGCATCTTTATTGAAATTACCTTACCTCTAGAAAAATAAAAAGGAGCAACATCAAATGTAAAGATTTTATTAATGTAAATAGAAATAAAATCCTTTGTTCCAATAAATAAGAAATTTGGGATGAAGGCCGGTACAGTCGTACAAAACAGCCAAAGGTTAACAAGCACTTGCATCATACAGTCCTATACAAGTGAAATGTTCTATTCCAGGCACAGTGCCCCACAAACCAATTCTTGGCTATTCACCCCTGCTTTTGATAGAGAATCTGCAGTTGTATTGGAAGTTCTATGGGTCCAATTAAATAAGCAGTAAGTGTTGGTTGCTAAAGCCTTGCTTCCCATATCAAATACCTAAGGAGACATGGTCCCTAAAATCTTGAAGATAGACATCCTTACCCTAGCAATCTCCTTCAACAATCAAATCTGTCCATCCCTTCAAATAGGCCTAGCTTTAAGCCCTACAGGAGAGTAATCATTTCAGATCTCAATGAAATTCCTTAACTTCCTGGACTCAAGTGGCTAAGTATGAATTTTCCAGTGTGGTTTCTAAACACCTCCAACTGTGCCCCCGTTACCAAGATAGCATTCATCAAAATCAAGTATTATAGCCTGCTGTAAGGGCATAGCCAGCCACCTTAGGCCATTCTCTCAAGAAAAAAAAACATTGAAACCTGTTAGAATTCTTTCCTAGACAGCACAATATATGCCACTCTGTCCTCTTAAGGGCATAGTTCTATGAAGATGTTAATATCTTTCTTCTTCTTAAAAATCCTATTGTTCCTTTTACACCAAATGCTCCAAAGAAAGGCTGCTACGGTACAGTGCCACAAGATCTTCCTTCAGAGGGAAAAAGCAGTTCCACACCTTATATGTCAAGAAGCAAGAAAGAAATATAGTTATTTGCATTCTCACCAACTTTAAGGCAAAAGACTCACATAAGGGGAAAGGCACCAAGTTGGTTGTCTTTGTTGAAGCATCTCATCAGTGAGAATAATCTCCTTTGAAGCTTCCGAACAAAATGCTTTGAATTAGGAATGGGGACTTTCCCAAATGGCTATGATCGAAAAAGGATGAAGGATGGCAAGGATTCATCAAGGACTTTAAATTCCATTCTCTGCCATCTTTTTTATTTTCATCATCTTATTAAATAGTTCAGTCAGATATAATAAGCATACCTCTCTCACACTTTACCAAACTTCTATTGGGATACTATCTAATCCTAATGTTTTTCCGTTCATCTTAATTAACTCCACTTCCACTTTGAAAACTCTAAATTTATGAAGGCACATATTATTTTTAGTAAATTAGAGTTACCGATCCCTCCCCCACTAAGATCCTCTATACTAAACACACTAAAACAAAAAAAAAACAAGTAAAAAGCATATCAAGACATGAGAAGTATACTTTAATATGTTCAAGCATGAACCCCAAGGAGAAGGGTTGTAACTCACAACCCTTGTCTTAAGGTATAAGCCCTGTATGCTTTTTTCTGACACTGCACGCTACCAAACAAGTTATTTCTAATGCACCAAAGAAGAATGCATGCCCACCTTTATGCATCATTTTACATTTTGCTGCTTTCAATGCAATACAATTGTCATCCTTCTTAAAAAATGACTTTGCTTAATAATTAGCAAATGTCATAGAGATCCATTGTTTGGTCTCACAAATTTCACCACTCCAATCCACATATGGGTCTTGACCCAATGGTTCAATTCCAACTTTGCACCTCAAATCGACTTTTTAAATCATTCACCTCAAATTGGCTTCAACTATTCATGGAAACCCTTTAAATAGCCTCCAATCCATTATTTATTTCAGCAGACTCCACATGTTTCCAGCAATAGATTTAGGGGCGATCCAAAACAGGAAGCTAATAATGAAATAGGTTGTTCTGACAATACATACTACATATATCCAGAACACATTCATTTATGACTCTTAAGCATCTTGATGGTTAGTAGTTCTTGAATTTTTAACTTCCCTTGAGAACACTTCACAAATAGATGAACACAGAAAGTCTTTCCCCTTCTAGGTCTCCAAAAGGATTTCTTCATATTTCCCCATTAGTCCAGCTCCAGCAATTGAATTTGTTTTTCAAGTCATATTGGCTCCCTTCCCCAAATAATTTCTCTCCAAAGGATTTTCCTTGCAAGTTACAAGATCTTGGTTCCATGATTTCAGTTCAATTATGGAGTGCCACCCACTCTTTAACAATGTTTGGCTCTTGATAATGGGAAGCTTTTTGGCAAATAGGCTTCATTAAAAAATATCACATGGTTAGGTAGGGGAAATGGTTGTGGAGGGTACCCTCCCTCTCTCCCTCTCTCTGAATTCATTGTTAAATCAGCTTCTGTTAAAGCCTCAAAGATTTTGATTGGTACTTTTGGGTTTAGAAGGAATCTTAGGGAGCCAGAAACATCCAGTGACTAAACTTCTTAATATCCTTGATGAGGTCTTCCATGATCCTATGAATGAGGACAGCCGTGATATCCTCCAACCAAGAAGACATGATTGGTATATTTCCTCTCACCGGTGTTCATTATGCGGGTGAAATGGTGAGTCTTGCTTTCACTTAATAATCTCCTGCCCAATTTGTTCTAAACATTTGGGGTAGGTTTTTTACTTGTCCTTCATCCTTGACCAGTTTGTTTGATTCAACTACTTTTAGATGACCTAGAAAAAGGAAGTAAATAATGTGGAGATGCACAAGGGCTACATTGATACGGACAAATTGGAAGGGGAGGAAATCTAGAGTGTTTGAAGACAAGGAGGGAAGTAAAGAAACCATTATAGAGAGAGTACTTTGTTCAAGGTGGCACATTAGGTAAAGACTATGGAGTTATTTTCACCATTCTATTTTGATGATGTTTAAGAAATGGGCTAAACCGCTAAAGTGGTAGGGTCTAGTTCAAAGAAGGCAAAGGTGATGAGAAATTGGATTGCACCGGAAAGGGAATTTATAAAATTTGACATTGATGGCAGTAGTTTCAGGAATCCAGGGCCTTCGGGGATAAGAGGGGCTCTAGACTTTTAGGGATGAAGATTGTAATATTATAGCTATGTATTTAGATCCAGTTGGAGTAGGTGGTGACTCAATAAGAACCAGTGTTTTAAAAGCACAAGGCAAGGCATGCACGCTTTTTGGGCCTGCCTTGAGTGGCTTGGTTGGGGCCGGGGTGAAATTTGCACCCAGCCGCTAGGTTGATAAAAATGCAAAAACAACACAAAAATAAAAAAGGGCACATGCCTGGGCTGAAAGTACTGTGCCTAGGGCCTAGATGAGGCACATAGCTTAAAATGTGCCTCATCTAAGCACCTAGGCACACCTGAGGCGTGCACCTTTTAAATCACTGATAAGTTACTGACGGTGATCCAAAGGTGGTGATAAATTGGTTGCTGAATAAAGAGAGAGCTTTGTGGATTTTTAAGAATGAGATCAAATGGTTTAAGTGGCTATCAACAAATATTTAAATGAAAATTAGATGAGTAGAGAGATCAGCAAATTCCTTGGCTGATATGTTGGCCAAGAAAGGGGTTAACAGAGATCATGATGTTTGGGCCCAACTGTAATGCAATGTTTCTATAATGTACAGGGTAAAAAAGTTATAGATTAACAATGGAGAAATTAGATACTGAAGGTGATCCAGAGGTGGTGATAAGTTGGTTGCTGAATAAGGAGAGAGCTGTGGATTTTTAAGAACGAGATCAAACAGTTTAAGTGGCTGTCAACAAATATGCAATTGAAAATTTGATGGGTAGAGAGATCTGCAAATTCCTTGGCTGATATGTTGGCCAAGAAAGGGGTCAACAGAGATCATGATGTTTGGCCCAATTGTAATGCAATGTTTCTACAATGTAATTGGGGAGTGATAGAAGGGGCTATGCTCTCAGTCTGTTATGTATTTGTAATTGTAAAGGGTTTTGTACATTACTGCTTTCTTTTTAATAAAATTTCCTTTCATAAAAAAAAAGATGCCTCTTTGTGCTTGATTACTTGGTTGACCTCCTCTACTAGGGTCAACTTTGTGATTGTACAGCTTCTAGACTGTAGAAAATACCATATAGAAAATTATCCATTTTATATACCATGTGATTTCTCTTGTATGTAATAAATCTTCCCAAACCTTTCTTTACTCTCATATATTTTCTTTTTCTTCTTTTTAAATAAAAAGAACACTGCAAAGCCTTCAGTGAGACAGGCATATCGTGTGCACTGAAACTAAACTGAAGAAAAAAAGTTGCATAATATGGATAAACACAATATCCTTCACAGGCACATCTACAAAATATCATCCAAATCATAATTCATTGTGAGTTTATGATATTGTTTAGGGTAATAAAACTATAACAGACCTTATCATAATTCAATTTGTGGAAAAGCCGATATCTTCTTCGAAGCTTTGGAGAAGTTTCCGCTTGTTAATCCCATTAGCAATGTGGGGGTAATCGATCTACGTTTTCAACCCAAGTTAGAGTTCGTATAATTGTGTAATGTACATCTATCTCTTTTCTTGACTCTTTTCAACAGAGTAAGTCTTCATTTGTACAAGTTTCAATCATAAAATAAGCATACCGCTTAATTCAAATAGCCCAAAAATTCTTCTATAAATAGATAAAAACAGAACAGGTGCTTACATCATATTTAAGGATCAATACATTCTATAAGACAATGAGCAAATAAAAGACATAGATATTACCTGCTCTCCCTATCTCTTATGTCATTCTCGTATTCTCTTTCTCTTTCCCTGTCTCTACTCCTTCCCCTGAAAAATTCTTTGTCGTCGTCCCTATCGTAATGCCTTCTTGAGCGGCTACTGCTTCTTCGCGACCTCTCCTTCTCCTTCTCCTTCTCCTTCTCCTTCTCCTTCTCCTTCTCCTTCTCCTTCTCCTTCTCTCTTTCTTTCTCCCTATCCCTCTCCCTCTCTCGTTCCCTCTCCCTCTCTTTAGCCCTTTCTCTCTCCCTTTCCCTCTCCCTCTCCCTCTCTTTTTCCCTCTCCTTCTCCCTATCTTTATCCCTCCTCTCGCGGTCCCTCTCTCGGTCACGATCCCTATCCCTCTCATACTCTCTATCCCCGTCTCGGCTACTTCTGTGCCTATCTCTATCGCGCCTTTCCAAACGAGAAGACCTCTCCCGTTCATCCCGTTCCCTTCTTTCCCCATTCTGATCATCCCCTTTCGACTTTTTACTCCTACTCTCCTCAATTCGATCTACGTCCTCGTCGTCTTCCCTCCGACGAGAACTTCTCTGGACCTTCTCACCTGAGCCCTTCTTCCCCGAATCATTACGGCTTCCGGGGTCTTCCACTGCTTTCTCCAGATAATCGTACTCGTCGAAATCCATTGACCGGCTGAACTCGATAGAACACAGTTAAAATTAACTCAAATTCGAAAATACATCCAAAACCCTAGAGCTGCAGATAAGATAGATACTGTATCGAGTTGAAACTGGCCCTGGAGGGAACTGCAATAAACCCTTATTATCCCTTATCCCGCTGGAACTCGAATCCTCGCTTCTTTGAACAGCAGTGAAAGCTATATATACGAGGGGTTCCAAACTAGGAATTAGGATTTAGGGAAGAGTCGTCTCGAACGCATATACACGGGACTGAGGTGGTGACAATACACGCGCGTACACCGTTCTGGCCTCGTCTTTGGCCCAGGCCCGCATCTAACATTTTTATTTTAGGGGGTGATCATTTCTAACCCGGCCAGGCCCAGGCCCAGGCCCGTATCTGCCCAGAAATTTTCAAGTCAGGCCTGGCCCAATGCATGTTACTGGTAGAAATGGTAATTTGACTCGTTCCAATGGAGCCCTGCCTCACAGGACAGGTTTTGTAACCACTGATCGAGGTTTAAGGTGGGTTTCAAGGAAACTTGAAACGCTAGGGATCAAGACAGGGCGGGGATGGTATTTCATATCTGTCCACCCTGCCCTAAACCCACCGACTCTATGTTACATTAGATACTATATATAAAAGTATAAAACTATTAATATAATATATTATATTATATTATATTATACTATATAATACAATATATTTAGAGGTAGTTTTCAAAAAAATATATATATAATCACAAATATGCAAGTAAGAATGACTAGGGATGGGGTTGGACAAATTTGAGATCCCTATTTGTGGCGGGACAAGGTTGGGGTTGAGATTTCTAACCCCCGTGGGGTTTGGAATAAGGACGGACAGCACGGGGCATCTGAATTCAGGTTAGGGACGAGGCATGCAAAACCTAGTCCCACCCTGCACCATTGCCATTCATGGTTACTGGGGATGTCAATGGGTTAGATTCAATACAAATTTGACCCAACCTTAACCTTAACCTCTAGTATCCCAGTTTGGATCAATCCATAATATGTAATTTCCTCACCCTACCTGACGCTATAGGGTTCAACCAAATATCAAACCAACCCAAATTTTACCAATTATACCTTTTATAATACATTTTGAAAATCTAAAAGCCATTAATTTGACTTGAAAATTGGTTTATAAGTTCTAAGATATCGTTTTCTCCATTATTGAAAGAAGGAAAACTGGAAAACAAAATAAGCATCAAAAGAAATCCTAAACTCTGAGGTTATGGAGTTAGAAGTCAACAAATTACAATAACACTCTACACGTGTATGGGCATCATAACCCAATGAAACAGGTCAGCCAAAAACCCAAACCTGACTTGGGTCAAATAATCAAAACACTAAACCAATTCTAGAGTCAGGTTAAACCAACTTTACCTTTTATCCCAACCCATTTACATCCCTTCATATTTTTTTAGAAGTCAGGTTTATATGTGTGTGTATTATTATGCAATGACCATACTTGCCTTAAAAGTAAAAAAGTTAATATAAAATATTTTAATATATGATGATTAAAAATAGTAGTTGTCAAATTATTTTAAGGGTAAATTTCTTAAATTACCCTTATGATTTATCTAATTGACTAAGTGTACCCTTATTGTTTGAAAATTAACTAACTCTACCTTTACTGTTTCTAACAATTGATTAACTCTACCCTTACCATTAACATCTGTTAATATTCCGTCAAAACCCATACACATGTGACATCACGTGACGTTTAAATTTTTTTAAAACCCAATGCTGCCCTTAGCCTTATCCCCTTCCTCCTGACTTGGCTCTTTCCTTTATTTTCCTCTTACAGTCATCAGAGAGAACTGCACTGTATAACAGAACAAAAAAAAACAAAAAAAAGCTATCAATCTTTTCACAGTCAATAACCTAAAAGAAAATACAGTTCTATCTTTCTCTCTGCAAAATCCAGAGAGGATGAAGGGAAACAGAATAGAGAGGATGAAAGGAATTATCCAGAAAAAAGAGGAGACGGGCAAAGATTTTTAACGTTTACTTGCGGGTCTTGATGAAAGGGAAACAAAACGAAGAAGTTCGATTTCTCTCTCTCTCCTTCCTTTGGGCTGCAGCAGCGACAACCAAACTCCCATATCTCTTTCTCCCTCTCTCTCTCTTCTTCCTTTGGGTGATGGGCGGCAATCCCTCTAAAGTCCAATCTCTTTCTCTCTCTCTTCTTCCTCTGGGCGGCGGCGGTGGCAACCCCCTCTGATGAAGTTCGATCTTTCTTCCCCTATCTCTCTTCTTCCTCTGAGCGATGGCAACGGCAACCCCCTCTGGTGAAGTCCGATCTTTCTCTCTCTTTTTCCTCTGGTCGACGGTGGTGGCAACCCCTCTAAACTCTCATCTCTCTTTCTTCTTCCTTTGGGTGAAGATGCGGTAATCCCCTTTGAACTTTCGACGGCTGTATTCTTCTTTCTCACGAACAGGGGGCTGGCTTGGGACCTTCCTCGGCTTCTATTCCCTCTGTGGCTTCTTAGAAACCTCGTTAATGGAGGTGGGAACTTATCCATTCAACATGGGCTGGAAATGGGTTTGGAAGAAAGACGCATTTAATGTTAATCAGAGAAAGACACAAAGGAAGAGATACCCGAATAGCTAGATTTCGAAGAAAGTTCTTCATTTCTTTTGCTCTGCGAATTTTGCATTTTTTAAGCCACAGGCTCTTGGACCATTGCAAAATCGAATATTTTGGATTATAAAATGGTAGTTTAGGCATTTTGCACGAGTTTTGACGGAAGTTAACGGTAAAGTTAGAGTTAGACAATTGTCAAAAACAGTAGGAGTAGAGTTAATCAATTTTCAAACAGTAAAGGTACACTTAGTCAATTAGCTAAACCATAAGGGTAGTTTAAAAAATTTACCCTTATTTTAATCTTTAATATTTAAACTTAACCACTTGGATAAAATATTTAAAAACTTACAATGAACAAATTTTGAAAATCTAAATCACTAAGACATTGGTTTCAAAAAAATCGTATAGGTTTTAAATGCCTTTTTCATATATTTTTATCCTTTTCAAATTTAAATTGCATGTGTTTAAAATCTAAATACATGTATTTAAATCTAAAACTAGACTAGTAGTTGTTGGTCTTCGATTGGATCATGCTTCTGTGTGGAGAAGAAGAGTCGTCAATAGTAAGCGTTGCCTTCTCCCCTTCCCCTTGGAATCTTAGAATCACATCTACCTACTCATATATCTTTGTTTACCGATTTTCTTTTGTAGCTTTTTAACTCTTCAGGAGATTTGAGTAAAAGTTGACCATTTTTTGATTGGACGTGCAGTTATGGTGTACTTTATTTGGCAGGTTTGGAATGACTTAATCTTTAAAAACACTTAGATGGTTAAATTGATTTTGGATTCAACCAATAGAGTTTTAGGCGGTATTTGACAGGTTTGAAATGACTTGATTTTCCAAAAAAAACTGTAGATGGTTAAATTGGTTTTGGATTCAATCAATAGAGTTTTAGGCGGTGTTCGTTACCGTGGTTATTTCGTGGATGGCCAGTTTCATACCACACCATGAATGGCCACGGCATTTGGTTTGTCGTGGATGGTACAGCTCCATAGTATATCTTGGACTGGCCCCGTCCACAACCCAAAATCTCATCCATCCATTTGTCTCATTGTTGAGTTCAGTCCCCATTGTTTTGATAATTTATCTTTCCCACTCTTTGATAAGATACATCACACATTTGTCATCCACTCATTTATGGTTGACTGTATAGATTATTTCATAAACTGTATATGAGATGCATAATATCAATAAATGTAGTGTGGTCCATACTAGACCTGTTCATGGGCCGGGCTCGGGCCGGGCTTTGACTCTTTATTAACAGAAAACTGTTAGGCCCG